CATAAATTAGACACTAGATGGATTTTAAAATTTAAGTTTTTTGAGTCCATATAAAATTTTCAAAAGTTTTAAAAATATTATTTACAAGTACAATTTTCTTTTACAAATCCATTGAAGTAATATAACTCTCAAGAATAATTCTTGCATGAATATGCAATATAACTAAATTTTTTTTCAAATGTGAATCTATTAACAGCAAAATTTCCAACTTTTAAAGAATATTTTTCGCAAATGGACAATTAAAAATATAACATAATTCTCATTAATGAAAAATAATTGTCGACACAATTGAATATTTTTATGAGATTCGATTATTTATTCACAAATTTATTTGTGCATATAAAAAATAACACAGCCATATTAGGACTTCTTTTTTTATTTTTTGCAACGATGATTTTTTTTATGCATCGACGATTTGTAAACTGTACAAGAATATTATTGGCACAGGAAGGACGAGGGAAACGATAAACCTTTCAATGCGAAGAGACCAACAGAGTTGCGCACCAATTTTGGTAAGGAATCGAGGCACGTTGCATTACGAAACGAAATTCACCAAATTAGCCGGATGATAATTAACCGAGAATAATTTAAGGTTACGATTCTGACGAAAATGTACGAGTATCGTTACATAGAGAAAATTTCAACGTTATAACGAGCAATTTCTCAATCGTCACGTAACGTATTCATATTTCCTTCTTTTTAATTAAAACTCTCTCGGTGTCTATGTAACGAGTTAATCAAAGATAGCATTTACGTTTAAAGCAAACGAAAAGTACCAAGTTACGTAAAAGTAAACTTGCGTTACCTTGTTTGCATTTTTTTCCACACGTGAAAATTGATTCCACGAATTCATTAAAACTAAAGTTTAAAAATAGTTTGGTCCAAAATTTATTTAAAATATCTATAAAATGTAAATTTAGAAATTTAATATAGAACAAAATAGAGCAAACAGAACAATTATTCTATTTAAAAGAAGACAGCATTAAAAACAATTTTCTTAATATCAAGTTTCTTAATGATTTAATGCATTTAAATGAATAATCATCTATTTATAATGAATTATATGAATCATTAAGAAACTATATGCAAATATATAAAAATACATAATTTAAACAAATTTCGAATCTAATGGTGGACAGTTATTTTAAACAACCTGTTCGTTCACATACTGCTGCAGCTTGCCGCAAAACTATTTCCGTTGAGGACACCTATTGCCACAATTAATTTCAGTTTTTCACGCAGCTGAAGCGCGAGTGCACCATAGTTAAAGGTGCAACGAGACCCGCCAGTTGGACGTGTTGCAGTTGATGAGGCTCCTCACCTGCCCAACGCTGCTCCCTTGCCTAGACACCCTTCGTTTTTTAACCTGTTTAATTATTGTTTATACGTTTGAAAATCATCGTCCAACGGACAGAATGAAATATTACACGTTTGAAGAAGAACTGGAGAAACCATTGTTTTTTGACCAATATTTATAAAATACATTTACACTTAATAACAAAAACATCTTTATCTTTGTTTCGACACGTTCTAAAACAGTTTGAAATTTCAATCAGAAAATTTGTTAATCAAAGAAAAAAGAATTAAAAGTCTTTTATATAGCATAAAATTTAAGTTTGTAGTTAGATATAATTCAGAAATATTATAAGAATAATTATTAAATATCATGTAAAGTTTTTTTCCTAAAAATAGAATACATAATAATTTCTTGTTCCTAGTAATTATCTAAATTATATCTTAATCTTTATTATCTTAATTATCTAAATTATAACTTAATCTTTATCTCCTTTCTCTATGGAATGAAATTTTTAATCTATCCGCGTTTATATTTTAATAATATATTCTTGGAGACAAATTTTCATTTATGCACATAAATTGAATTACTGCCCGTGCAACAATTTATTCTTACCTTGTAATTTTATACATTTGCTCATTTGTATGTATATATGCAAGCTTCAATTTTTATCAGATATATTTTCTTCTAACGAGCACTCTACCAGAAAATTTCCTGCGTAATTAGGTGACCTTAATTCTAATTAACCAAAGGTGTCGATGTATATTTAACGCGGCTTGACACACGAATTAACAGAGCACAGTTAACAGACCGGTTAAGTCTTTAACCAAAACCAAGTTCTTCTCTCGAATTTCACTTGATTTTTTCCCGAACGTGGTTCTATCCCAAAATAGGCAAGTATTCGTAATCGAAACGCGTATTATTCATTCATGTTACGTAAATACACAAGTAAAAAGCGTCAAAATCGCTCGGATCCCTCGATTCATCATGGCTGACCACATGTGAGAAAGGCGTAGGCTATCCTCGAGGTGTTTCTTAAGCGGCGATGTTCGTCCATACCCACGCAGCCCACGTTGGAACATTTTAGATTAGTGCCCTCAGATAACGCCGTGCATGTGCTCAGGGCCGTATGTTACGAGCGAGAAATTGGCAACGATCTAGACTTCCTTTCATTTGATCCTCGACAATCCATATTAATGGACGCGTGCCACGGGTATTGGAAATTTTGCAATGATGATTTTTTCTTTTTTTTTTAACAGGGCGGACAGATTACATTTTAGAATTGATAACCGGATACGAACTAGGATATTGCTATTTTCGGGGAAGTTGGTGGGAGGATGATATCGGTCGAGCATATCGGGACACAACTCTTTCGATGGATTTCGCGGCGATAATTTATACAAGGACAAATCGTTCGATGCCTTTTTATGTCGCTCCGTGGGTTGAACGGTTTGTTAAATTATTTAGCCGTGGTAATAGGATTTCTGTTATCGTGATCGTAGATCGATCTGCTGGATAGATTTAAAAAGAAATATAAAACTTGATAGATTTTAATAATTAGTTTAATTGTAGATTTATAAAGAAACGATTCG